AAGATCCAATTTAAAAAAAAAAAAATGATTTGTGGCTAGCAATTTTTATGTAGTCCTCTTTGATATTTTATTGACTTGTCATCTGCCAGCGGAAATTGAAAAGCTCCAAATTATGAGCCACATGCTATGTTTTATCATTCAAAACTGCAGCATGATTTTTAGTACTAGGTGCTGCTGGCATTGCTATTTACATGCAAATATTGAATGAGGCCCACACTGGGTTTTTCTCGTTGTGTGTGTGTGTGGTGTGTGTGTGTGTGTGTGTGTGTGTGTGTATGAGGCTCCTAGACAGAGAGAATACAACTCAGTGAGGTCCACATCGGGTAGTTCTTGTCTATCATGTGAGGCTTGCAAGGGTTTGAATTTAAATTAATATTGAGATTTACAAGCTAATTATGATATAAAAAACAACAAATGAATCATAATACAAATATTAATTAATCTTGAAAACTGCATTTGTGTGTGGTTTTCATGGGAGATTTGCCAGACCTACAAATTAATATAATACTACATTGAGCTTCTCTAATACTCACTTTAGAACTCAGTAACATTGCATGCATAATTTGCTGAGAACAAAGAGATTGGGAGAGCTGTGTGAGTATTACTGTCGCCCTGTAAATTACATTCATACATGGTAGTCATGGTAATTCATGCTTTTGGCATATGAGCTCTGTTATGTTTATATGGTGGATATAATCTACGTAGTCTGTTATATTGTTATTCTGTGGCTCATGCAGTTTGGTAATTCAATGTGCTTTTATTTGTACTGATCAGACTGATTTTCAAATCATTCATTCCTGATTTTATAGCACGTGTCTACAGAGAGAATGAATTGTTGATGTATTGTCTGCATGGCCCATGCATTAATCTTCTCTCTTTCAACCTTTGCTCTTGTTGAATGTGTCTCAGTACCCTTCATGAGTTATGCTAAGTCAGTCAAAGGCATTAATATGCAAATATTTGCCTGCCTTGTTTGGTATTAATTATTGACTCTACTACTATCTGAAGCGAAGTTGCTGAACCAACCAGTTACCCTAGTGCTTCTTCATGTTCATTATGCCAGGATAATTTGATCAGCATGTGTTTGGTCTAGCTCACGAAAGCTGATCTAGTTTTCTCACATTACACAAGTACTGCAGTATAAATATCTTGTATAAATATTTGTAACTAGATTCTGTGGTAGTTAATTACCAGGTATGTATGCAGGTTTTAAAGGCTCGTGTTTTTTACCATGCAGACAGCATCGTTTATGTTGTGGCTTCTCTGTTTTGTTTTATGCCATTGAAATTTAAACTCTATTGAATATGGGGAAACACACATGGCCCTTCAGAACAGTGTTGTTCTTTTATCAGCCTTGATGGCATTGCCAAAAGTGGGTGATTTTGTGTCACTGTACATGTATAACTCAGCACACATTGACCTATCAGATAAAATACACAATGCAATTTACAATCTGATAAGATTGTCAACTCGGAGCTTCATAAATACATGTTGTATCTAAAGCTATTGCTGACCATTTTGGTTGAAACTTTAATCGTCACAGAAGAGATGTATATTAAGGTACATGTGCATCTTGTTTTTCTATGTGTGGATGTGTGTTCTGAGGTTTCTAGATCAGCACATGCCTTCACATCTTCATACCTATGACAGTTATCATTGTGTCCTTGTCAGTCCATCATTGCCTACCCGGATGTTCAAAATCAGTTATTTGTTTTAATGGCAAAAACAATTTCAAAACAAATTTCAAAGTTCCTGTCTATGGTCATTTATTGCATTTCACAATAAGGTTTCTTATTAGCCCTCATTTGCATACAAGTAAGTATCCCTTGATGACATCACAAGGGGAACATTGCTGCTCAGCTTATAGTCATGGTCTGTGATATGATTCTGGAGAACACTTCAGAAAATGTTGCTGCATTATTAGTACAGTAAAAACGTGGTCCAAATACTGGAAGTGGACCAAGTTCTTGAGTATTTGAATCATGCCTTTCAGTAGGATATTTCATGTATGCTCTGAAGATGGAAGAAAGCCTGTCACATAATTAAATGTTTGAGGTGTGTTGTATAGTACGAAATTGTTTAGTTACGATCACTCAATGATTGCAGGTACTAAGACACTGGGAGCTTAAATCAATTTGCTAATGACATAATGACAACTATATACAGTTATGTAGTAGGAATAATAATTATTAAATTTGCTTGAGGCAATTCTTAGATCATTACTTTCATCGTTACCATATATGGACACATTCAGTGACCAAATACACGAGTAATTGGGTGTAAACCTTGTTCTTAAATTGGTTTTTCGTACTGCATGATTTTTTATGTAACAATTTAAATAGATTTAAGATTATGATAGCTAATTGGAGTAGTTTGTTTATTAGTTTTCAATAGCAATCAATCAATCAAACCAAATCATTCAAACTGGAAGAACTTGGCAGGTGCTGAGTGTTTTCCGGGTCCGAAGTTGATCAAAAGGGACAAATCATTGGCGTGTACTACTTGAGTGTTCGAACTAGGTTATTGGTATGATGAAAGTGCTAATATGAATAATATTTAGAATTTCTCACTAAATATGTGGAACCTGTGGCCCAGGGAACTTTACAGTAATGCTTTTGGAACATGTCGATCTGACAGTCCTGTACCTTTTCACTCAGTCACTTAGACTTGTATGGTGACCAGTTTCTCTGCCTTGCAGGGAACATAGTGGTGTCCATTTTGTTGAACATTGTCTCCATTAAAGTTCAGCTTTTATCAAAGTGTAATGGCTGCAACATTCATATTATGCTTTATTTCCGTGATTACTGGTAGTAGGATTTTAAAATGATTGAGTTATTGACTGGGACCGTGTAACTTGTTCGTTAGTCACTCAGTTACACCAGTGCCAGTTGCGCTCATGAAATCAAAAGATATGGATCTTGTATATAATCTTGCGTTCACACTAGTGTTTTATTTTTTTTTTTTTTTTTCCCATGGGTCACAAATATAGCTCCAACTTATTTCTGTTTTTTTTGGTACATTGTTATCGCCCATGTTAATAGCATTAATAATATTCCAACTTTCTGAACTTTGAACATGCATTGTGAGCATGTACTGTGTAATAAGTTAAAAGTGACTACAGTGACCAGACCATTGTATCGAATTCCCTGATTAACTTAACAAACCTTGAATGGTCGCCACATGTTGACTTGTTCATCTTTTATTCCAGCATAAGTTTTGGGTGAAAGTTTAAGCCAGTGCTGATTTTCCCCCTTTCAACTTTGAACGTTTTCATGCACATTTACACTGGTACATGTATATCATGTGTTCTATTCTGGTTTTCTTTTAAGCTGACTTTAGTTATCTTGGTTTAAAGGGACACAAAAATCGGATATGAACTCGCTATGTTAAATCAGTAATCTTAATTTAGTAGAGCCATAACTAGTGTGCAAAGAAATGTACTTGTAACTGACAAAGGTCATGGTACATTGTACAGATTTATTATCTTTCATAGCCTGATCAGGTATATAAAGTAAACATGTGATGCACAGTGCAAAGGCTGTGATAGCAAGTGTGTACTGAAACATATTTCTTGTTTGTCCATAAATTTAGTGTTGAATTTATTGTGTGTCCTTGCTTGCTTGCTAGAACATTCTGATATAATACATGTGTGTAGGGGAATACTGCAATTCACTTGGAATTGTTATTGTTGGAATATTATTCTATGGACTATAGAGCTACAGTTAATAAGCCAATTCATGAGTTCAGCCTTCAGTTTTCTTGACTTTTGCCATGGCTATGTTCCAATATATGCTTCATAAATTGTATTCTAAATAGCACTTGTCAAAAATCTGATAATCGGATCAGCTGCACGTTGTATCACAAGATGGTTGTTCTTCAGATGTATCTGCTCTATGGCTTCTCTCCATGATTGTGAAGGATGCAGGGTAGTGGCTTGTTTGCTACATTATATCATTGTATGCATAGTTTATTTAGAATGTCTAGATTCATCTGTGCATAGTAAATAGCACTTGTCTCATTCTGAATATTTGTTTATGGGTACCTTATATTTAATGCAGCATTTCACTGTACGTTGTATGTTTGCTTTGGAATAGTACTTCAAAATATTTTGGAGGTCCAGTTCTGTGTTGATTAATTCATATGCAAAATTCACTTTTTGATTTAACTTTATCTAAATTCAATATTTTTGTATTTTTTACAGGAGAAGCGTAGACAGTCTACGTACATTGTCTAAAAAATCACGTCCCACTAAATTGACACCTAAAGGTAAGCTATTTAATCTGCATTTGTTGTCAGAAAAACTGTCTATTTTCAGGAGAAAACATCCAAGCATTTTCATTGCCTGGCAACCATTACTGGTGAAAACAAAAGCCGAAAAATCTTTAAAAAATAATTTAGGCTAGTTGTTGAGACTCCCCTGCACAGTATAACAAGACCACCCTTGCATGTGCATATATCAATTTGGTTGTTCAGGGTTACCTTAAAGCTGAGTTTGTGCTGTTTTTACCGGTGTTACACAGCAGCTCGCACAGAACCCTTAGAAATACATGGCACATTGGTGCATGTCCGACAACAAAAGACGTTCTATGACATACTGTAATAAGAAATGCAGGCTTGTAAAACCCACTTGACAGTCTCGTCTACATGACCAGCTAATGATCAATACAGTATGTGTAATTTTAAAATGTTATAACTTGTAAATAAATCATGTTATTGATCCACTGCATTATGCCAATTAAGGTGGTTGGCTATCATTAAAACTTATTGTCAGATTTTTATGACTTTTACCATTTTAGCTTGATTATATGCGGTTGCTCAATGCATGTGCATTTATTTCATTTTCATGGTTTCTTTTGAAAAAAGTAATCACTGAATTTGAATTTAAAATTGATATTGACAATTGAATTCCATGACTGCAAAATAAATATTCATTTGTTTGTATTTATAAAAGGATTCTAATATTAAAGGTAAAATGGAATGAAAAAAATGCTTTATCACCATAAAAACAAAAAAATATTTCTTTTTTGGTTTGAATAAAAAAAATCAAATGAGCAGCAGTTTTATTTTTAGTTAAAACAGATCTCAGACAATCATCAGAATTATCAGGTGACTGGTCCTTATTATTTTGAAAAGCACCAACTTGGTTGAAATATTGACAGTCAATGACCAGTACATCAGTCAGTAGCGATTAATCTGATTACATCCATGCATAATTCTCTTAATTCCCATATTTCATTGATTCTTACTTTCCTTTCTTTACTGATTTACATCTTTTAGCCACAAAGGGAGTACTTCTGGAATATTGTTTTTAAACAGTTTGTAATTTATAGGAGCTAAAAAAGTGGAAAGTTGCTGACTTGTTTAAATCAATAGCAATATTGAAACTAAACAAAAATGTATTATTAATTTATTCGCTCTTATTCAGTAGGTCTGTCTGAAAATGTCCAATATTGGATCAGAAAGTTTACATGATTTGATTTAACTGAAAAGATTTAGCCAAATTGAGTTGATTTCAATGATTAACAGTCAATTCTGTTCTCAATGATATACTGGTGTTTGTCTTAAAGGTAAAGCCACTTCTTTGAAATCTCCCTCCACCTCTTCAAAGCAATCAAAGACTACCAGCAAAGCTACTACACAATCAAGCACTGATGTTCATACTAAACCCGACAAAAAGTACAAATCTCGCAAGTCTTTTTCCAAGCCATCACAGTCTCCTGCTCGTGTCAGATTGATTCCTACAGTTGGTATTGTTCCTTTGCCTACAACAGAAAACTGGAAGAGCTATTCTCACGGAGGAGTGTAAGTACCCTAGCTTGTTGTATCCTGCTCACTATCATTCTAATGAAGGTATTGTGGTTGTGCCCACAGTCAGCTGGTGCACATGTGATAATAAAATAAATACAATATTTACTATATGGGAGATGCCATCTTGAATGCAGCATAAAACTAAATAAGAGACAAGTTGTGAAACACGTTTTTCAGATTCCTACAAATCAGGACAAAAATACCAATCTTTCACAAAAATACGGTCCATTGGAATAATATTATGCCAGCCGATAACAAAATTCGGCCGAATTCGTCGTTATTGTGTCCTTAATCCCTTGAATACGAATATTAATTACACGAAGAACATAGAACACTTTCCTGGGGTATTTGAAACCAAAAATTGTCATTCCAGCTCAGCAGCCAACATTGCGGAAAAACATGCACTCTGTGCCGCCATCTTTGTTACCTCAATCAGAACCCCCTGTAACCCAGCATGCATCGGTCACAAAATCACAACGTGCATTATGTCGCCGTAGGGCGGCATTTTTTGGTACTATGAATGAGGTATTTCCAGAGGTCAGGGTTTGTTTTTTCATCGCTCGTCTCGTCTGCAGTTGGATTATTTACATTTGTTTTTCAATGCGACTTAATTTCACTTGTTTTTTTTTCAATTTTGGGGTAATTAATGTCACCGGTGATTGAGTGATAAAAAAAATCGGAGTGCTGCAAATCGATCAATACATGTTTTAAATTTGTGCAAGACGAGACTGACACTTGTAAATAAAGCATGGGCGAGTGACCAAGCATCACTGACAAAGGGCAAGCATTACGGCCGAGTGTCCAAGCATCACGGTACCATGTTGCTTCATAGGCCTGGGGAGAACACTGAATGTCAAGATGGCTGGTTAACATAACTTCTCATTTCATTTTATATACAAAATTCTATGAACAACGACCACTGTCCATCACTTTTAATTCAAAGCATGAAGTCTACATGCCATTTTTGCCTGAAAATTATTATCAGTTTGATGATTTGTGATACTTGTCAGGCTGACAACCATGCATTCAGGTTTCTGCTAGAACCCTCTTGCAGTTTTTATTTTATGTTTGTCTTAAGAATCTTTCATTTCTCAACACAAGATTTATTTTCAAATTTTATTCTTCAGAATACATGCATTAGAGAAGTTATGTATCTATATTTTGTTTATTTGGAAAGACCTACGGGCACAAGTTCCCATTTACAGGCTCCACACACACATACATCAAAATACAATAAATAACATTCAAAAGTATACTATAAAATACATCTACATTTAAAATATCTGAATTTAATGTTCAAGAATTAACTGATTTAAAACTACTCAAATTACTAAAATTATAAAGTTCTGATCCAGTTTGCAATAAATTATTGAAATTGTTCATGCATCTCACAAGTGGAGAATATTTAAATGTATTAATACAACAGCGGATGATTGATTTGGGTTGTCGAAAGCGTTCTCTGAAACTTGTATCATATGTGGTGCACTTCACTCTTGTACAAAATAAAAAAGAAGTGGGTGAAGCAATATCTCCAACTTGTCACAAGGTGCAAAAGTGTTTGTTTCTGAGTGTCCCCGTCAAGTCATTGTATGGTTTATGGTCAATTGTCCTACATGTATCTAGTATCAATAGTTGTGTTCACGTTACACGAAGTACGGGCTAAGATTTAAGTTGATTTAGGCTTATCTAGCATATTTGCATTTCGGCTAGACCCAATTGCGTCTAAGCACAGGGAGGGCCAGTCGTTAGCACGGGCTAAGGGGCGCCATTAGTCGGTGACCTTTGGTAAGTCGCTATTTACGAACGAAAAATGGATGACACGTGCAAGGTTCTATTTTTGCTGCTGGCATGTTTCGTTCTAATTTTGAAGCGACGTGCACAGGAACGCGAGAGAAGACTGACCCAACTTATTTGGATGCACAGAAAAAGTGTACAACGGCGTAACAGAATACAGAGTTTTATTATGCATGTCGTAGACAGAGAACCAAATTTATTTTGCTTTACTACAGCGACCCGATCAGTGTGGAAGCGAACGTGGAGTAATGACTGGTGGAATAGTCGTTATAGTCGTTATACGAACATGGGACAATGCAACATTCCTCAAAAACTTCAGGTCTGTTAACTTTGGGAATGAGAAAGTTGGACGTATTTGATCACGTGCACAATTTTCACACCCGAAGGTTGCCGCAGAGAGCGCTTAGCCCTGGGCTAAGCGTTCGCGCACACTTCGTTAGCCCATGCTAAGGGTCTTAAATTCGTATCAGATTTAACCAGTACTTAGCATTCCTTAGCCCTACTAAGCGTTCACGCACGTTTTCTTAGCACGGGCTAAGGAATTTGACCTCTTAGCCTGTGCTAAGAAGCTGTGCGTGAACGCAACTAATATGGCAGTATGGTTTTAAATGTAAATATAGATTGTCATAATAATCTAAGCTTTACTCAATCAGAAAGCTGTCAATGTTTAGTTATTCATTGAAGGTTCATGCTTATATATTCAAATGACCATTTTAAGTTGATTGATTGGTTTAAATAATGTACTAATGTGCCACACACTGCATGTAGCATAATGTTCCAATCAATTATTCTATCCCTAAAATCTGTTAGAACACAGCTTAAGGCAACTCATTAGTACTAATATAAGAGGGAAATGGAGAAAATATGTGATGGGTGCTTAGCCGAGTACCCCCTCACAAAATGTTTTAAATGTAATTTTTGATCAGTATATGACATGTATGGAGGAATATTAATTGTTTTCAAACGAGAGCTTACATCTTAATATTAACTTGATAAAACAATGTACTTACAATAACAATCACTGCATATGCATATTAATGGTTTTGATTTTTCCTGTAATGAACACTTTTGTTTATGGTAAATCGTAGTCTGATTTGGTTTTCAGTTATGCCCCATCAAACAACAATATAAAAAAAAATGTTTTCTTCCACATTGCACTTTTAAAACAAACATGAAACGCAAAGGTTTGCAACAAATATATGTTATGTACCATCAGAATTTACGATGTAAAATTACTGGAGCCTGTGGGAAAACATTCTATCAAACTTAATTGTTGAAAGGTTTTGGATGCATGCTAACTCTGTGCGAAGCCAATCCCGCCTTGTTGTTTTACTGCATGATTTGACTTGCAACCACAACCTTTGACCAAATAGGTCAAGTATGTTATTTTCCAATCACAATATATGCTGTATTGTATTGATTCACTTCTCAGCTGTATGTGATTAATTTTCATTAACACAATAAATTATTGATATTATAGCATGACCTGGTAACATTGATTTCAACAAAAAATAATAAGTACATTGATGTGAGACACTGAGTGGGGAATATTTATCATTTGTATCATGTTCCAATGAGCAATACTGGGCAAATTAATCATCCTCCAATCAGACAGGTTTTTTACTTGTCTGTTATTGTTTTTGCTTTTTGCAAATGCAGTAAGACATTGAAAATGACATGTCCGACAACAAGGTTTCAAAGGCTCGTCATAAATGTTGTCATTTTACAAGGGTTGATGCTTTGGTGATTGTGACCTGAATTGAACGATTGGGCTTTGATTTACTGGACATGGGCAACAACATGGTTAAGAGCGATAATATATCAAAAACTGTCACAGTGATTGTGTTTTTCCAAGAATTCAGTTGTCAAATTTTCCTACACGTATTAAATGGAAATGAATTGTGCCTAATGACAATTTATTGGGGAAAGGGTTCAAACTGACATGTAGCCATCTCTAAAACTATAGTACATGTATTAAATGTCAGTTGAGTGAGGTTGTAATCATCAGTTTGAGTAACACTGTTGTTCAAGCATGTACTAAACATGCCTTATGAATATTCAAATTTACCTGTGGCAGAGAGGAATACAGCTTAGCTTTAGTGATTTAACTTAATGTACATGAATGATAATATACATGAATGAAAAAATATAAACTTAAGGTAGAAGCCTAGTCATAATTTTTGACAAAATTGGTCATAAATCGAATGACAATGTTCATTAGTTTATTATGTACAATCATGAAGCTAATGTCTCATGGTACAATGAAAAAGCATTATTTTTTGTGTTAGTTATGCTTTTTGAGAAAACTGTTCTAATATTTCTTGAAAATTGATATTTTTAGAACAATTGCATAAAACACAATGTTAAAGAAAAATTGCATTTTTTTACACCTTTTAAAACCCAGATTTTTTAAATAATTCAGAACAACAATTTATTGCAAAATGAATAAATTCTGTTTTTTTTTTAAATTGATGAGTAGGATTCTACCTTAATAATAACAAATTATCTGGGTCCAGAGTCTGATTGAGTGGCATGTGACATTTAACATTTAAACTTTGACATTTGCCCTATTACCTGCTTTTAATGTTTCTAAACAATTTTTGTTTAAACTTGTAATGTTTCATTCCTTGCTGCATGTTTATATCATCACTATAAAATGTAAACACAATGCTTGCCTTGTGCATGCTTTCAACCTCTGTTGCCTTGTGTCATTCGTTTGCTTGCAGCTTTGTTTTCCTTGGATTAAGAAAAAAAAATTGAAATTTGGATAAAATACAAACAGTATGTGTGCATGCTGTGACATTTTCTATATCTTTGTTATAGTTCCTTTGAACTGAAAAAAGTTGCTGGTAAAGAAGACATTTTCACAGTAAAAGATCATTCAACTCAAGGTCAGCACTGCCCTTTATTTTTGTATTGCTTTGTTTTTATCCAACACCGGCCATACCACACTATGCATGTTGTGTTGTGTGGTGTGGTCGGTATAGCTTCTCACCCTTGCTTCCATTGTTTTGTTCTGTTTTTCTATCACTATATGTATAATGTGCTTTTCAGTTTAGTTGTGGTTGCTATTGTAAATTGCTCTTTTTTTTTTTTTTT